AATACTACACTGGATGACCTGACAATGATCACAACATGTAGATAGATCGCGTCAAACAGACTCATTTTAAAACAGTTCTTGACATGCACCAGTCTGTTTTTATTGCTATCTGAAACAGCAAGGTATGAGTTGATTCATTTCATCTGTTCAATTTCGTTATAATAACTTGATATTTTTAAGAACGTGGATGAATGAAAACATTAAATTATTTTTAATGGCTATTTGTTTTTGTTATATAGATTGATATATTATACTAATTGCTTTGTGTTTGAGTGCATAGTGCAATTTTGTCTTTGATGAAATATTTTTTTACTTATTTTAAAAACAGTATTTCAAACAGATTCTTCTATTCATTTCCAATTTCTCTCGTCAGTTGCTTACATTCGTCAATGCAATATCATTTGATCTAAAATTATCATTATGATTATTGTCCCTGTGAAATCACGCACTTCCAAACATTCAAGTTTGCCAAACCCAGGAATCGAATCACACCCTTTCGACGTTTGCAATGTTAAGAACGTTATTGAGAATTGATACCTGTAAATACTCAAGAATATCTCTTCATTTTTGCTTTTGTGATCTCGAAATAGATGCGTGGAGTGTTCGGCTATTTTTATTACACAAGTGGCACTATTAAGAGTATGTGACCCTGCCCCTGACGACTCGCCTTTTCTTCTTGCCCCACGAGCTATCAAACGAAATTTATTTTTTCCCCTTATTTGGCAATTATTTTTTTTAAATTGTTGATTATATGGTAGATCTATTTTTGTTTGTAACTGTGATCTATATTCTATATATTAATATTCAAGAACTTTAGAGAGTGTATCTATCTACTTGACCTATACTCTATTTTAAAGGCAGAATTTGGACAGGAATGCTGGGCATACGCTGGTTAAGCACTGTTTTTATTGACTATCTTTAAACTCTCAATCAACTTGCAAATAGCATAAAAAACGTTGCTATTACTATTTTCTACAAAAAATATGAAACTTGCAATAACTTAGCGTCTGCACTGGAAAACTACCGCTTTGATATTATACTTTAAAACCATTTATAAAAGTTCAACGAAGGTAGTAATTACACCATATTAAGTGGCTCAATTATGAATATTTTTATCCTAATCTCCTAATGTTACACAATTAGCGAAAAAAAAAATTTGCAGGATTTGCACCGCAACGGAAGCGGTTAAAAAGCTTCGGAAATGGCATTTTTACGAGCGTGACCCAGCTTTGTGACCCACCCGCGACGATATTTGAACGATATTTACCCAACAAGTTAATACTTCCCCAAAAGCGATCTGAAATATTTTCCTTTTCAAGGCATGGATCGGAGTTTCAGGGTGAAATTTATGCCCCATCAGCCTTGCTATATGAAGTATTATAAGCGGTTGTATTTGCAAGGCCATCGTAGGGTCAATTGTTTTCGACCCACGTTTAAATTTAATATTGGATGCGACGCGTATTAATTTGTTTATCTTTCCGTTTCGTAGGATATCTATACATAACATTATGTTTTGAGATATAAACGAAGAAAATAAAATTACCCGAGTTTCTTCTATTGTTTTACTAATTAAATTTCCGCTTCATTTAAAAAAAATTAGCCAATGCATGATTACAAGGAAAGGCGGTAAATCATATACCCATGACATACCCATTAAGTTGAGTCCTTTCCCATCTGATATATGTTTTTCAGTCAACACTATATAGGCAGTAAAGAAAGTGCACGGGCGACTATGTATCGGCATTGCTTTTGGCAAAATTAAATCAAGAAACATTTCAGGTGGTGAACATTTCAGAATATTGAAAGACTTTCTGAAAACTGACATGATGCAATTGTGTCCTCTCGTCCTTTCAGCGGTCATGTAGATCAAAAGGTTGCAGACATTAGAACTAGCAATTTACATGATGTCTTATTGACTTATGTCATGTATAATCAAGTATTAACAAGACAACATCAGACTTAGTACGGTCACTTATATATACGTTGATTGGAGGTTTTAAAGATTTTCGTAACTCTGTGTAAGCAATCGTGCATCTGCTATTGAAAAGTCAATGTCAGCCATTTTGATCATGAAAAATGATTGATTGCATTGCATCTAAGCTTTTGAATTATGAGTTCTTTAAGAATCGCCGTCTGAATGGTGAGGGGAGTATGCAAGTTTGAAAATAATGATATTATAATCACCGAATGTGATAATAATATATTTCAGTATATAGTTTTTTTGTTGTTGTTGTAAAATCATCTTAATTTTTTAGATTTCTTTAATCTATATAAAAAAGAGCAAAGTAATCTTTCACTCTTTCTATTATAAAGAACTACACCTTCCCAATATTATTGATATGTGACGAAATAAAGTCCATATCACTTTTATCCTATATTGACTTTCAAATGATAAAATGTTATGTTTTATACGAATTATGCAAACACAACATGTATTGCTAAAAATCGAACAATTGGATATGGTATCGTTAGTATGTTGCAACAATTTAATCAAAAAATTTGAAAATCAGTCCAAAAATTTCGTAATAATTCTATAAACAAAAAAATGTTGTTTGATGTTATAAATGATTTCATCCGCACATGATTTGTTTGAATTATTTCCAGTTGTCAAAATTGCAAACACAAACAAATAGTCATTTTTCATCAGGTGTGGATGATTTTAACGGTTCTTCATCATCGATGTTCAATATTACATTTCGCCGACAATATGTGTTAAACTAATTTCATGGATCATTTTAAGTCAAATTTTTTTTTATTAAAATTCTGAAATCTGGTATATCCGACGACTTTGCTTAACCTCATCTTTCCGTTCCGTAATTGCAATTTTACGGTCGCGCTGTTTTTCTTTGAAATGATGAGTTGCCGTTCGAAGTGATTTTACTGTATTACTTTGTGTCACTCTCAGTAAATAGAATATGAAGATAAATTTCGTGGGAAAGCGCTTGGATTAAATTTTGAGGTAGAAATATTAATTTTCAAGCAAATGAATACGAGTTTTATTTCAAAATCGATAATAATGTGTTTCTGAATGATTATTTTTTATATTATATTACATTTGCTCATGCAAAAGAAATTGGTTTTCATTTTAAGCAAATAATCATAGTTGGTTTGTAGCAAACTTCATTCTTATCTGTCAACTTGATATATGTAACGAAATTTTGCCTCTCGAATTGAATATATTTAAATATCCAATACGATACATTACCTCAACGAATATACTCAATAAGATTTTTCCTTCATTCCTGCATTTTTGTCACAATTACATTAAAAAAAAATGAATGCTATTGCGGCCCTAAACAGCAAAACATTTTTTAAAGATGTTTTCGTGTCTAAAATAACAATTGTTTTCTTCGGTCTATAGCCTTAATATAGTTTATTCCATGTATTCCATTTCTTAGACTTGGTTATAACATAACAAAATATATTTTTATTCCTACATCTCAATCCTGAATTCGCCCCTTTTCGCATAAAGATAAATAAAATAATTATTTACCCGTGCGGCGTCACAGTAATATGACTGAAAAAGTGCGTCTTTGTATTGTTACATTGCTGTAATCCGGGTTTGTTTGCAACATTTTGTCGCCAGATTATCGTTATAGAACTGAACAGCTATCGTGTGCACGCGTAAACACTCTTGCCAACTACTGAGAAATATTACAATGATTCTAGTAGGTTTTGTCGGAAGCGATATAATCACTTCGCAATATTGGTGTATATATATATATATATATATATATATATAGATTTCATTTATCCTTGTTCTTACAACATTGACAATGTTGCTGTCTATAAACATTTGAATTCACAATCGTTTAGTCACATTCATTTTCTGTTATATTCTTTTATCTGTCGTCAACAGTACTATTTCTAATGCTCTTGCTCTTTTATTAGATCAAAATTAATAATCAGTAATTCAGTATATGAAAACTTAATGCAAAGAATATTGTGTTAAATAAAAAGTCAATGAATGCTCTTTGAACTTTTTAGACACTAAAAGGTTTCTCATACTCGGGCATAAAATGAAGTACCGCAAATTAGAACATATTTTCAGCAACAAGTCGTGTTACGAATAATATCTTCGTTTGGCCACCCCTTCAACAGTCCTATGATACAGTTTTATGCCTTGTAATATTTCAGTAAAATGACAGTATTTGATCAACAATCGTGAATATTTAGCGAGTGAAACTAATTTGTAACCAACAAAAACCACAGGCATAATGCGCTTGGAAGGCGTGTATAAACCACAGCTACCTCATGATTGACTAAGAGTAAATTTTATCTCAAAATATGATTCCTTTTTTACTATGAAATGCTAGTGAACTTGATAACGATTTTTAATTAGAGTATCCTAAATTGGAAAGAATGTCCGAGAGGAAACAAGGGAAAAAGTTTCAGAAACGATTATCGAAGTCGTTGTGTACATGTAGACAAGATTTGTGTTGAAGTATAAAAGGAACAATTTTGAAACTAGTTTACCAAACAAAATGTACAACCAGTGCGGCGAACTTCACTACTATGTAGATTGGATTAATAAAGATTAAGAATTCAGTGAACTTTATCAAGTGAAAATTACGTTCTCGAAATTGCTAATTTTAGAAATGAACCGTGAAACGCTTAAAACAACCTCAGACAAGTTTTATCCATGTGAACGATGTAATTAAAAATCTTATTACTATGGTTGTAAGAAATATAGCTGAACGTGTACCGTGTTTGTGCTGTGTACGATGTATTCATATTTGTTTCCAGTAGCACAGAAATTGCTTTTGACAGTAAATTTATAAGTCTATCATCTGAATTGAAAAACTTGGTAGACAAATCTGTTACAGCTCACGTGAAGTCATTTTGGTTAAACTGCAACTTGTTTAAATTGTACGCAGCTCCATGAAATGTAAAACGTTTGCTGTTGTCTCATTGTGATTATAACAATACGTCGGTGGAAATACCATAGGTCGTTATCATAGGTGTTGAATAGGTATAATGGCAGTTCAAAATTTTTACAGATATATAATATAGCAGGAACTGTAAACTTCATTCTAAACTTGACAAAAAGGCAAATCGTCCTAAGCATTCGTAGAATTAGTAGATCGTGAGACTAAACATAACGACTTCACACCTAATCTGATCGTAGACCGACCACTAAAATTGGATCTGCGGGAACAAATCATTTACAACGACGCACGCGAATCATATTTAGACCGTCGTAACGTTTATCTGTCTACGTATTGGAAGATATCAACTTGCTGGTCAAAGCTGATGAATACACTCAATCTTCATAAAACGACAAAAACGAATTGGATATAAATGGCGCTGGAGTTTTTGTGCAGGGACTATTATAACAACTACCACCGACCGACTTCAAATATTATTATCGTTCTCATCATCGTCAACTATTGTGGAATGTTTCCTGTAGCTCAATCTTCATGGCTGTGAGTACTGTTATAGCGATTTCTTCTTGACAAGTTAGCTATATCAGCTCGTTAGTTCTTGTTTGTTTAAGTTTTTCGTTTAAGACATCGAGTTGACTGTGGAATAATTTTAACGTTCCAAAAGTGTATTTCTAAACATAGCTATCTAATGTGTATGTAACTAAGTGTGAATGAAGCTAATTTTTTTCGAATGCATATGAGAATGGCGAAAAGTACTGTCTTGGAGCCGAGACTCACAAACAGAAAAACTTCATATTTGACTGTTTAGGATTTATAAAAATTAAACTAGTGACTTAAACGCAAGGGCTTGTCGAAAATGTGCTCTAAAAAGTCAATGTTTGGTCATTTTTTTAGGAGAGGATGAAACTATTTACGTTGACGTAATAGGTTTTTATTTTTCCCGTTGCTTTGTTTGTTTACAATGAAATTAGGCAAAAGCTTGCAACTTTTTATACCCCGAAACATAATTCTATTCGTTTCACTGGTCATTTCGCAATTATTCAATCTTCTCTGCTGAGAAGGGTTGAATGAATCATCAACGAAAGTTGTTCTCGAGCAATTAAAGTTTTACGAGATAGAAGGAGGTTTTTGAGTGTTGTATAGGTATTTTTCATGCCAAATTGACAAACGATTTGTGTATTATATGATTTAATATTCAAAAATGATTACTGCATTTTTTATGAATCGAATTGATTCATTTCACAAACACAAATTTTGAAGATGAGATCCTTCGGTACTGCTTCCTCCCATAAATATTACTGAAAACTGAAAGCGATCGCCCATAAAACACCCACAGAAGATAAAAATTGTGAATCATAATTTGTAGTTCCCAAAGACGGGCAAAACCTTAAATATCTTACACAAACTTGTGCAACAATATGATATTTTATTTTAAGTGTAAATATATTGATGAAATAATAAAATATAAATTCCTCAAATAAAAATGAAGATATAGAAATCACATACCAAATAAAACGCACTGCAGATGAATATTTCATTTATCGTTACCCGTGTTTTTTTAATCTAATGTGTTAAATATTTCAAATCCCTATTTTTTAATTCGTCCCACGTAATGTTTTTCATCAAGTGGTACTCTGAAATATTCTAACACACATGATGTGTAACAAGTGTGAAGCGTTCATATTGTCATAATATACGTCGAAAGAGTAAATTAGATGCCACAATTTGCAAGATGAGTATTGCAATAATAATATTTATACATCTTCACATATCTAATAAAAAATCTAATTTTCAAATGCGCTTCGTCATGTGTAACATTTTTGAACTTCGACACAGTGTTATAATACAAGTGTACAACGGTTTCACATTAAATTTTATATCCATTTCATACAATGCAAATCTTTAAAAATACATACATCCGCTCGTGATGACGTATAGAAGTCAGATACCGCTATTTCAACTTCCTATTCGGATGTATCTCTTTCAATAATTTTAGATAAAACGAGCCAATGAGTTAGTTAAAATAGGACGCAAGTGGTAATTAACGATAAATATGCGATAATTTAAAAAAACGTTTCCTAACTTGAAAAAATGATGGATTTGTTTAACGTACAATTGCTTTTTTATTGATATTGATACTTTTAAGGTATCACAAACATTTTTTTAGGTGTTCACACTTCCAAACAGTCATTTTTTGTATCAATAATTTATAAGCAAAATGGAGTATCTTTATCCTTTTGCATATCCTGCCTAAATGTTCACACCACTGGTAGCAAAGTTAGGTAGGTAATCTGCAATCATAACAAATGTTAGTCCATGATGCCAACATATTGTGGCAGTTCAAAAATTGCAGCATTTCAAATCAGAACTTTCAATAAACTGTAGGTGACTGTAATCAAAACAAGATAACACTTTTAGAATTATGGATGTTGTCAGCGATAAAGTACTGTGAGGCACTTTGATACTCACGAGTGGTTACAATCGCGGCCTAAACCGCAATATTATTGTGTATTTTCAATTGTTGAAGCGATCGTTAACGGTATTTTAAATCGAAAATAAAGTGCTTTTTGCCATCGCAGCATTTCATCTTGAATTTTAAACTACACGTGAATGAAGTGCGTATTAATCGATTTTTATGATTAACTTATAAAAAGACGTGGTGGGTGGAGTGTTTTTAGGAATTTAAAGAACCCTTGAATCATTTAATTTTGCGGCAGGAACTTTAGATTGGAGACGAAAATCGTTTTATTACATAACATATTCATGGTCGATATCCGAATAAGACCAAACGACAAATGTTTTCAGATTTAAATGCATGTACTAACAGGGTATTTTGATCTACCTATATATGAACTTAAGGAAAAATGGCAAAATGGTTGTCTAGCACGGTGGGTGCATCAAGTTACAAAATAGGTTAAACGATGAGAGTGATAGAACATGATCTATCTAGAGTTCCAGGCAATTAGACCAAACATTTAATTCGACGGCAGGGATCTCCTTTTTGATAATGATAGGATAAATTGTCACAAGATCATGAAAATTGGACTAAAACTACTCACATTTTTATTAAAATAAAATTTTGTATTTGAATGATGTTTTATATCATTTAGGTCCTTTACTATTTTAAATTTCCAATGCTTATCATCACATTTTATAAAACAAGGACATAGTTTATTGAATATGATCTTTTCTATTTTTATCTAAATCATGTTGGCATTGTGGATAAACGGATTAGGATGACAGACAGGGTCAACCACACTTTGGCATTCGGGGATACGGATAATTGGGTGTTGATATGGGTAATTGTAGGTTGAATGTGTAGAAAAGATTATTTTATAAATTGTGGAAATGATTTTTAGATTCTCTTAGGAACTCATTGAAACGGGCATCGATCAACTAGCGTATTATTTTATTTTGATGTCTCTTTGTTATATTTTGTTTGACGGCAACTAAGTCAATTTTTCATACATATAACTCATTTATGTTTATTTATTTTATATGATTCCGTTTCTAAATATATGAGCAATGCAGCACATTCAAAATTCATCCTCAGGTTAAATTTTTCTGACGCAGCATCTCACATTCGCTTGCAATGCGTTTGGGCAATATTCGGCTTCCGCCTAATTAGAAAATGTTTGAGGGGCTTAGCATTGGGAGCTGGACAAACTGTCGCCGACATATGACACTGATGGGATCCCAATATCAAACGAATTTACTTGACCCAGGCTTTTTTTGCTGACCGCTGACGGAGCATACGAGTCTGCCACACCCAAATCTTTCAAAAAGCCACGCTGTCGTGTAAATTGGGCAAGGCACACTAATCCTGATAAGACAGAAGTATTTTTAACATATTGTCCAGGCTTGCTTATTCTTAACATTATACCTAATTAACTGGGGTTTACTTGATTCTAATAATGTTTTGGTAAATGATATTCACACAAAAGATACTTCAAATATATGTAGTCGAACCAATGTATAACAGTTCACCCAAGTTTGATACTGACATTAAATTTGATTTCCCTAAATTTAATACTTAAATCTGTTTGATCCGGTTTTTGGTAGTATCTAGATTTCATTTATGCTGTTATTTGTTATTATGCCAAAGAGTCTATAATTGGCCTCAACCCCTGTTCCCTTCTAGACTGGCATCTATAAGGTAAACAATTTCAATATTTGGCGCCAGTTCTCGATCGCGACTATGCAATTTCAACTGATAAGATGAACACAAGTGTATATGTAATTTGTTCAGACAAACAACGTTACTGAATAATCTGTCGCAAGAAGACGACATAATTCAGAAGCAATGAATACTTTTGAATAAAATCAGAAACATAACTAGTAGGCCATGTAGTTGGATTTCAACTTGCATCGAACCGGGTATTGTTAAGCCTGGACCGTAGCTTGCTCGTGTCCAGCTGTGAGGGGATCACAAAAAACAGTAGAATACTGTATATGTATATTAGCTATTCAATAATCGTGAAATGTCTACATAATTTACTCATCTTCGCTAATGTTTACCAACAAAGTTCAAATCTTTATTTAAATTCATTATGTATGCATAAAACTTGTCTGGTCAAACTTGACGATTTAGTTTGAATGTGTGGTTATACTTGTAATAAACTGTGTATTCAGCACATAACTCAGTGCAGACACAGGCGCCGTTTCAGAGGATTCTCTAATAGTGCATTATCCAATCCATCCCGTTTTAAACGGAATAGTATGCATACAGTGGTTAAGCCGTTCAGTCGAAAGCATGACGACAATAAACCATCAGTTATTGACAAACCGTGCCGTATTTTTTTCTGCTATCGAAAAAAAATGAATAAGTCACAAAAAACAAACGTTGCATTCAAATTGTCAAACGTAGATTTTTTTTTGTGTTTCTCGCACTGTGCACTGCCTTGAAAACGAAAGTTTTTCTTGTGAATTCTTTGAAAGAATGATCCAGGTTCTTCTGGGCGGCGTTTCAAAGTTTGAAGTGACACAAAATGACTTGTCGACGGGTGATGAGAAGCGCGCGCAAAATGTCGGATTACTTGCTTGTGCGGTATGTAAACGACTTCGCGATTGACAATCGACACACTACGGTAATTTGAGATGAAATTTCCCGCATAACCGTTATCCTCTCTTCAGTCAATGAGCGTGACGGCCCGGGGTCGCAAGGGACACGCTTCTATTCCCAGGTAGCGTGCTATGCACACGAAAAGTATCAACCCACTATTTCCTTTGTTGACACTTTCGCACGACATTACCGTCTTAAGTAAAGGCCGTGTCAAAACTGACCCCTAAACTACCTGCATCCGGACTCGCCAACTCATTTGGCATAACGTTTCAATAGGCCTGTCAGACACTCCTCTATTTTTCCTTGCACGGCAGTAAGTTGACATCCGTTATATCGTAAAAATCATGTTGCATACGGACAAAAAACGTCTCTTGTCGACAACATTATAAGCGCACGAGATGGGTTGCTCTATTTTGTAGGATTTGCCTAATTGTACAATATGGTACAATTGTACCATATCGTCTCGTGCATTTTAGAT